CAGCTCTGTTGAGGGCAGAATATCCCTGATATTCTGACTGTTATTTTCCTCCAGCTCTTTTGCCTCCTAGAATTTTGTGGCAAAATCACACAGTGATGCAAGCTGCCTTCGTTCCAGTGTTAACTACTTTTGCTACTCTTTTTATGGGATAAAGTTATTTCTGTAAACAGATGCTGTGGCCACATTACTACTGTAACGTAATATAAATGTGGTAAATGGACTTCGAGTACTAATTCCTTAAAAATGTCTGTAAATCAGTGGTGGCCTGCAGTAGCTGAATGCTCCAAAGCTGGATTGTCTCTCTGTTAGGAGCTGCAACTTTAAATTACAGGCAGCTGACATGTATGTTATTTTAATGCTGAATGAGAGAATGAACTTCTGGTCGTTGCGACAACAGTGCTTCTCCTTCATAGCGGGAGGGGAGGTGGTCTCCGTGGTTGGGAATGTGAAAGAAGCAGAGTAACAGTACATTCACTGAATCCTCAAAGCTTTTTTTCCCTTAAAAATCCAATAGTATAGATGTAGTGTTTTCATAGTAGCAGCAACACATCGAGCTGATTTCTTTAATCATTTTTATTTGAAGAGTTTTGTGTTTTCCAATGGGGTAACCCAAGGGTGTGTGATTGTCCCCTGACCCGAAAGTTGTTGCTGAAAATAGCTGTGTTGGATGCAGTTAGGTTACATCAGGCAAAGGGCTGTAATGGTCAAGTTTGGGAAAAACAAAACCAACCAACAAACAGCAAAACAAAACAGGAAGCACTTCAGAAATCCCTGTGCAGGGGACACGAAGCTGTGCTTTGCATTCCTAGCAGTGGGTGTCACTGCTGTCCGTGGTGGGCTCGGGAAATGGATTCCCTGTGACAAAAACAGGATCTAAAGAAGTGCAGAATTTATCAGCAAGTTGCTCTAAAAAAGGAAAATCGGAGATTTAATTGCACAGGCAATTGGTTGGTGAATAACACATTGTTGTGTGATGCTGACTTTGTGCGTGGAGGTCAAATGACTGCCTTTTGTCTTATATAGCCTTCATAAAGAGGAGTTACACCAAGACAAAAGATAGTGGAGGAGTTGATGAGTGTTTGGCTGACCTATTTTACAGTGTGTTCCAGACATGAGTTGTCCCAGACATTCCTTTCCTGTCTATCTGACTTTTTTCTGCTGCTTTAAAGATCTGAAGAATTAAAAAAAAAAAACCAACAACAACCAACAAACAAAAAAAGCCCTCAAACCCACTGATTTTTGCAGCATGCTCAGATTCCTGTTTCTGTGCAGGTATCCTTTGTTTTCCACATTTCCAGTCATTTCCATTTTTCAGTAACCTGTACAACTTGTACAAACTCTATGGGCAGTCTGCATTAAACATGAATAGTGCAGTCTGGGTGTTGAGCAAAGCAACCTGCAGCTACAACTTCTGCTGTGTGTTGGAAGGAGGGTTCGTTCTTGGTTGGCACATCTGAGAAACTTTTTGTGTTGGTATGGAGAAAAAAAGCGGGATGTTTCATCGTCAGGTGAAGATTTTGCACAAATGTTATCAAATATGCTTGAGCTGATTTGTTTTGAGGAAATGTCAGCTATTACTGCTTCAGAGTAAAAATGATGTTTCCTTTGCAATGAAATCACATCTGTTCTGAAATGACTTCTAAAAGTACTAAGTTGTCATGCTACCAGCATGTGATGAAACGGAGTTTCAGACGATGAAATTGTTAGGAGAGAGCTGCATTTAAGACTTTGGTTTTGTATAATAAATTATTATCTGCCTGGCCAAAAAAAAAAAAAAAAAAGTCAATTTACTGTCCTGATTTATCACAGAAAATGAAGTATCAAAGCTTAAAATAAATCATATATATATGTAAAGAGCTGTCCATATCTACAGAGTGGTGGACATCATTTCCAGCCTTTATGTAAACTTCAAATAACCCATAGACTCCTCTATTTCCTGCTTTGCAAAAAGCTTTCTGGGGATCTCAGAGCGGGCAAGTTCTGTAGCCAGTGATTTAGAGAAGTGTAGGAATCAGGGGCTTGGTCAGGTGTGCACTGAGGTTGGGGTAAGGCTCCTCCTGGCTTCGTAGAAGCTCTGTAGTAGAGGCCCGAGAGGTTTCACGGTCAGCCCTTTGTGAGAGCTTTAATTCATGCACGTTTGCAGTCAGCCAATCCCCAGAGTCAGCATAAAGTCTTTCAACTGGTTTCAGTATCTTCAGCCATAACTTCTCCTGCAAGTAGTGGCTTGATGGACTGGGGTGCAGTTTGCAAATGCTTTATTTTTTGTCATGGCGGTGATTAAGTCATTCCTGCATACCTCTTTGTTATATGATTTTACAGATTATCTTCAGACATTTATGCAGTGTGCTGAGCAGGCCAACTTACATTAACCTGTTAAGACAATACTTGGTGTTTCTGTAGTTAAGGAATTCAAACTGCCACCTGGTACTTCTTGCCTTAAAAATGTGTTCCCTTTTATATCTGCCAACCAGTACAAAATACTGCTTATCTGACTGGGAAAAAAGCAACCATTTGTTTACTATTTCATGTAAAGTAGAGAAATAAAAACAACTGTAGAGTACTTTAACTCTTACATGCTGCATGCATGTCTGTGACACTGTACTGATGCCAAATGTTAGGAGCAGTATTTACATAAATGCTGTGGAAAAAAATGTAATATTCCTTCTCCTCTAAAATTGCTTTTCCTAGGGAATACAGTTTCTGATAGAAAACGACCTCTTGCAGAACACTGCAGAAGACATTGCACAGTTCCTTTACAAAGGAGAAGGATTAAATAAAACGGTAATCGGCGATTACCTCGGTGAAAGGTAAATAATAATACTGAAACTTCATCCTGCTCACAAAGCACACAGCAATTGGAGGAGTTACCTGCCCCTTCAGAGGCTGCACAAAAAGCTTCTCCTCACGGATGCAGAAAAGCTACAGAGGGAAGTAATGCTAACCTATGAGATGTTGATTAGTTGTTGTTTTTAAATGGATCCATTGTTGAATAATATTTAATTCATTGTAACTTACCATTTTGAGGAAATATCCTTAAATTTGGCATTAAAGCAGAATTTAATACCATAAGCTTTTGGAATGGTGAACAGTTTTAGTAATTCCTGACACCATCCCTAGACAAGGTGTGGCTTACAACTGATAATAATTGATAGGAAGAAAATTACTTACTAGAATTGATCATTCCTGGGACAGTAGTTGTAAGCAGGTTTTAGTGTCATCCCTGAACCAGCCTTCCTCTTAGTAAGGAGGCATCTCTCAGAGCAGCTGCATCAGTTCTAGCACAACAAATGTGCAAAATGCAATAAAATGCAAATTGCTTCCATTGAGGTGCAGCCCAGGAATGGATTTTGGGAAAGGGAGCAGCAAGAGATAGAAGTAGCAGGTAGGTTGGAGTACGTGCCATCTGCGTGCTTGAACATGTGCTGGTTCTGATGCCAGTTAGGGAGGTTTAAAAGCTGACTCATTTAGGATCTGCTGCTGTAGTGATGTGTTCTGGCAGATCCCCGTGAGACATCTGTAATCTCTTTACAGCATCAGCAGCTTAGTTTGTGCACTATTTCCTCCTGACAGCAACAAGCGTAATGAAAGTTTTCACTGTTGTACATATATTTTTGAAAAGGTTTTCTGTGCAGTTTCTGGACCGTGTGTGTAGACATTGCAGCAATTTCAATATGAAAGCATTAGGATGTTGAATATTTGGGTAGCGTTGTGCAATTACTTGTATGTTAATATCTACTAAATTGTAACAAAGCTTGCATAAGACAATCTGTATGCATTTTTTTAGAGTTATGCTCTACCTCCTGAAATACTTCCAGTATTCTGCTCCCAAGCCTGTGCTCCCAAGCAATCTGTGCTCGTGCAGAAGGATCTCACCAGTGCGACCAGTCCCATTGGCGTACTGCAGAATGGTCACGTTGCTGCTCACATATCAAATTCAAAGATGTATTATTATTTCAGGACCATCTTCTGGATTTTTCATTATTTAAATATGAGAAATTGTAGTGATTTGTACTGAACAGCAAAAAAAAAAAAATTCTTTTTTAATGAATCTTTAAGTTGGTGCTAAAATTTGAGAATTGTGAAAAGGATCTTTTTCTATATTTGCAGTGTTGGAGCTGCATGAAAAGCTTCTCCTCACATGACAAAGCATGACTCTCAATCCAATGTACATTAGAACCAAAAAAAGCAAAAATTAGAGTATCTGTGCTGAATTACTGCAGCTTTGTGTACATGTAGGCAAGGTGCATCTTTGGCTTAAGATAACACAGCAGCCCTATTGAGTGCTCTGTGCAGTTGCACTTTATACAAATTCACTGCTCTGCAACGTAGCATGGAGCTCAACTGTATAATACTGAATTTGATGAGAATTGCTTCTTTTTGCTTGATGGAGCTGCTCTGTGGTTCTCTGAACAGTCTGGAAACATCTTAATAAATGGTTTGCTTTCAAGTATTTGCTTGTGAGTTGCAGATTAGCTACAAGCATTTAGTCAGTAACACAACAGATAATTCTTGGTGAATGCACGCCTTTCTATTTTCGGGTGGAGGTTGATACGCAACATTCTGCCTTGATTATGTATGTAAAGCACACCCTGAGGATTACAAACCTTTCTGCTTCAGGCATATGAATGTAGTAGTGGTGTAGACTAAATTCTATCTGCATTCAAATCATTTTGTGTTTATCAGCCTTTAAAAATAACTTTTGCATTCAAATAACCTTGTATTAAAGCATAGTTGGGCTCATGCTTTGCATAATGATGTCAAAGATAGCTGAGAGCAAGCCAAGTCAAAAGCTTTTAGTAAGCTTCCACTGTAACAGTTTTGGAGAATAGAATAAGAATTTGGTACATATTAAGTACTTCTTTGAAAAAGCTGTTCTTATAAGCAGTTGAAGTATGGCTTATTTGTCCTACTTCGTATGGCTAAAGAAATTAATCCTACCTTAACTGTTGTTTCAAGTGTTCATGACACAATTGCTGCAAAAGATTATTGTACTGAATAGATTTATTATCAAGTATTTTCCCCTGTGAGGGTAGGTGCAAGAAGAACAAATATGAAGCAAAGCAAGACAGGCCACTTTCAGGGCGTTTAAAAAAGCAGTGTTGAAATCTATTCAGGTGTAGTGGCTCTTGATAGCTTAGCTTTTAAATGCTAGCAGAAATGGGCAAAACACTAGCAATTAAAATTGAACGTGACAGCAATTCATTTGGTTTGGCTTGATCACTATAATATGTTTGCTTATTCTATAAGAAAAAGATAGAGGTAACTAAAGGCTTTGAAGTTCAGCATTGTAATTGTTTATTTCCATTTTTCTCTTTCACAGAGATGAATTTAATATTAAAGTTCTTCAGGCTTTTGTTGAACTCCATGAGTTTGCTGATCTCAATCTTGTACAAGCCTTACGGTGAGTAAAGTCTTTCTGTTTTTCTTCCTGCATTAAATTGCACATTCATAGGAGTCACTGCGTTCTGCTTGTCAGAAAGCTGATGTAACACAGCATGACTCTGTACCTCACTAGGCAGCTTAGCAGAGGCGGTTCTGTTTTAGCACCTCCAATTGTTTGTAGCTGTGCCTTTTTGGTGTGTCTGCCAAATGCGAACATTTGAAGACAATTTGATATCTCAGCACAGAGATGGGTTGAAACAAAGCCCCAGCCAAACAGATCATTTTCTTTGCTGTCCCCTTCTTCGTCCGTTTCTTCCACTTGTTCCTATGGGTGCAAGAGCACTGCAGGCCAGAATTACTGCTTATGTGCAGTTGCACAGAGGTAGACTTTGGTACAAGCAGTTTCTTCCTACTTTATTCATATTTACCTGTCACGTGAAGAAAAAAAATTAAAGTGTAATATTTTTTTTTTCCTTTGGTGTGTAAACTGTTTTTCTCTGAGATGGTAGCATGGAGTTACCTTGTGAAGCATGCAGTGTTGCTTATGGAAATCCACAATTAATCCAGGAAATTAAGGTGAAATACACTTCTGCCAGTCTCATTGCTTCAAGTGACTCCCCTGACAATAGATAAATAGAAATGTTCATGTGATCTTTGTTTCTGGTGCAGCACCTTGTGATGTGGAGTCAGAGCAGCTTTGCTACGGTTGAGTGATGTGGTGATGTTAGCCTGAGCTGCCTGAGGCATAAGCTAAGGCTCTGGCTGATGCAGATTTTCTGGAAGGCTTCATATCCCTATCTCTTTTACTCAGTTTAACTTTAGGCTCCATTTTATTCTACCTTAGCAGCTGCTACTATTAAATGTTTGTATTTTGGTAGCTTACAAAATTCGTGATCTGGGTTGGAACCTTGTACAAGGTGAGTAAAAGACACTATAACCAAGTTAAGGATGGCCTGTGACTCTTTGATATGAAGTCCTAAAATGGAAACTTAACAGGAGCCAGTGGGTATTATATTGGCACCCACTGTACAGGGAATATGGAATTTTTTTTTGCATGGCAGAGCATGTAACTTTGCTGGTCTAGGTCCTGTTTTAGTTTAGATGGTTGTTTTGCTAAAAAAGAAAAGAACAAGTGACTCGGTTAATTGGAACTTTTCAGTTTCACCACTTGCTGAAAGTGAATTTGTGAAGACTTCTGTCCTGTATGCATTCCAGTGTACCTATATATAGAAACAGTAAGCTAGGAGAGTAAAAATTCTATGTCAGTTCATGCTGATCTCCTGCATATGTTACAAAATTACTGAGATGATATTGTCAGTCTTTCTTCTTAAGCTCTGGATCTGATCTTTGTAGGGCAACTTACACTTGACAGGCAGCACTTCTCTCCATGCACCGGTGTTTCTCTTGTAGTTGTTTTCATTTTTTAATGTTTAATTAATTCATTTAAAGATAAGTGTTGCTGTACTCCTTCCTTCTCTCCCTGAGCAGAAATATTTTATCTCCTGTTTCTTTCTACATTGTAAGTAAAGTCTAGCTGAGTGCTTATTGCTCTTAGTAGACAGGAATCCCAGGGAGGATTGAACTGTTTTTTTTCCTCTGTAGTATTCTCATGGAAAAATGGGATGCATACAGAAAATTGTTTACTAGTCCTGAAAAAAGAGAGTCTCAGAATATGAACTGCCATATTACCTTGCCTGATAGCATGCAGTGTTGCTGGCTGAATTTCTGGGTTAGCCATCTGTGCATGTTGCTTTATGATAGCTCCTGACTTGTTTGTTGAGAAATGGACACCGTATTTCTAGGACATTTTATATCCACATTGCTGGGTTTTGTTTCTGATTATTAGCAATAGATGCTTAATATGTAAATATTGGAATGAGCCTAACAATGATTCTTCTTTTCTGTAGGCAGTTTCTGTGGAGCTTCAGACTCCCAGGAGAGGCTCAGAAAATTGATCGTATGATGGAAGCTTTTGCTTCACGCTATTGCCTTTGTAACCCAGGAGTTTTTCAGTCTACAGGTTAGTTATAAGTGATATTAGAATGTTAATGTGCTTCTGTATCTGGTGCAAGGAAACAGTGGCTAATTTGAAAGTTCAAAATAAAATAATACGTAGAATAATCATTTCCTGAGAACTGTGAAAATGCTGCTGTCTGATTTTATGTTTCACATCTGGAAAGTAGAAGCTGATGGTCAGTATTCATTTCCACTTACTAAACTCTGCCATTAATATGTAAACCAATTTGAGCATAAGACACACTTTAGAAATGTCACCAGGCTGTTTTGGCTGTGTGTAGCTGAAATGCTGAATCACAGCCTGAACCAGTGATTGACACCTGGTGGAAGGCAGGGCCACCCAGGGGAGCTCAGGTACCTACAACAGACCTGAGGGAGCGGAAGGGTTGGAGCCAGGATCCACCCCTTCCCAGGCCTCGTGTAAGGGTTAGCAGTGGAGATGAGGGTATCTTGCTGGAGATCCCTGCCTACCAGAAGCCTTCCAGAGGGTAAGCAATTTTCCTTCCTTTGTTTCTGTGTTCACAGCTGCTGCATTTGGGCTTGTTCTCATTTGCTGCTTCCGAAGATTGTGCCACTTTGCTATACTTTCCATCACATTGTAGTATTACAGCATTGCACTGGGTGTTTGAGAACTAGGATTCTAGTGTTAGATATCTCACTATCTCCCTACTGGGTCCAGGAGAATCTCATGAGGATCAGCAAAGCCAAGTGCAGCATCTTACACCTGGGTTGTAGCCATCCCCATTATCAGTGCAAGCAGTGGGATGAAAGGATGAGCTCCTGAGGAAAAGGGCTTGTGAGTTCTGGGGGATGGTAAGCTGGGCATGAGCCAGCAAAGTGCCTTGCAGCCCAGAAAGCCAATCATATCCTGGGCTGCATCCAAAGAATCTTGGCCAGCAGGTCAGGGAAGGTGATCTGCTCTTCTGCTCTGCACTGGTGAGACTCCACCTGGAGTACTGTGTCCAGATCTTGAGTCCTCACTGCAGGAGAGACATGGGTCTATTGGAGCACATCCAGGGAGTGCCACAGAAATGCTCCAGGGGATGGAACACCTCCCTACAAGGACAGGCTGAGAGAGCTGGGGCTGTTCAGCACACAGAAAAGAAGGCTCTGGGGAGATCTGAGAGTGGCCTTTCAGTATCTAAAGGGGAGCTGCGGGAAAGAAGGGGGCAAACTCTTCAGCAGGGTCTGTTGTGACAGCATGAGGGAAAATGGTTTCAAACTGAAAGAGGGGAGATTTAGATTGTGTAGCTACATATTACATACAAAGTCACCTGCTTTTCCCTTAGGAGAACTGTATTTTTTCTTTATAGCAATCTGCTTATCAAAGACTTACCTCCGTTAGAAATGCAGCTCAGTTTTCTATTGAATTACATCCTCTAGAAGTACTTAGGCCATAAAAAGCCAACAGAGCTCTCCCATCCTGCACAGAAGGGCATAGTGTCTTAGCACTGCTGGTCTGTTCAGTTATGTGCATGCGGAGCTTCCTTCTGGTCACCTGATTCGAGGGTAAGAAAGTAGGCAAGGAAAAGGTTAATGTGAAGAAGGTCAGCAACAGCTACAGAGGGAAATCCTTACTGAAAACAAAATACAGAAGATGCAAACACGTCTTTTCTTAATGTAGCAGAGAGATTTCCATCCTCTATTTTCTTATGCATGATCTTGTTTGAATTCTGGGAGAGCTTTCTACAGTCACAACCACATCAAGAGGCATGATAAGATCTCTTTTGTTATCCTTTGATATTGGCACCTTTGTATGCCAAGAAATTGAGTCAAATGTTATTTTCAGTTTTATTTACATGCAGTTCGAGTATTATTTTGAAGAGACTGTTCTTCCTCTGGGTGTCTGTGGTAAAACTTTGGAGGCACTTTGAATTGATGTCTGATGGACCAAGCCTGTATTGCATCTACTGCAGACATAGAAAAGTAACTCATTTTTCCACTCTGGTTTCAGATACGTGCTATGTGCTGTCGTTTGCAATCATCATGTTAAATACCAGCCTGCACAACCACAATGTCAGAGATAAGCCAACAGTAGAGAGGTTTATTTCTATGAACCGTGGAATTAATGAAGGTGGAGACCTTCCAGAAGAATTATTACGGGTAAGTGAAAATGGGGAAGGTAAGGGGCTGCTTTTTGTTTTTTAATAGGAAACTTAATACATATGCAACAGTTTTCAGACTGATTTCTCAAGGGAAGTAAAAAACAAACAAACAAACATTTTCTGCCATGCAGAACCAATTGAGAGACTGAAAGAACCATCCATTGATATCCATGGTCTCTTTCAGTTAGTTGTCTCTAATCTTGATCTTATGTTGAGAAGAGATTGCATTGGAAGTCCTCTGTATGTCTCTCAGTAGTATCCTTGTGACAGTGTTCTTATGGAATTGGCTTCTTATGGAAAGAATTCTATTTCTAGATAAGTCAGAGAAAGTAGGAAAAATAGTTAAATAATAATGAAAAAATGACTGTTTTGTTACTGCTTTTCTATTCTTCCCACATATGGTGTGGAGTTTCCTCCTCTCCCCTGAGCTAACAGTAAAGCTATTTACTTCTCTAACACAGTGTGATGATCTGAAGTATTTTCTAAAAACCCAGATTTGTTTGGCAACAGTTAGGCTAAATTATAACGATTTGAGAAGCTGAAACTTCTGAAATACTGAGTTCTGAAATAAAAATGTATTTGTTGGGAAGTACTTATAAAGTCTAGAGAGAGAGTTTATAGAGAAAGTAATTTAAAAGCAAACTTACTCAGAGAAGTGAACAACAATTGGGAATGGATGGTCCAGAAATTTTTGGCAGTATTTCCTTTGCTTTTTGTACAAAGAAACTGAGAAGCAGTAGGACATTGTTGTACTTTCTGATGGACGTTACTAACGAGGTCTTTTTCCTCTTTTTTTATTCTTCTAGAATTTATATGAAAGTATTAAGAATGAGCCATTTAAAATTCCAGAGGATGATGGAAATGATCTAACGCATACATTTTTTAATCCAGATAGAGAAGGTTGGCTGCTGAAATTAGGTGAGTTCCGAGAGCAGCCTGGCTGCTGTGTCTGTTCGTTGTTTGTGTGTCTGCTGCTCCTGTGTCCAGCTGCTTCCTTATCAATGTAAAACGGTTCACACTGTAATTTACACTTAAAAATGTGTAAGCCAAAATAAGTAACTCCTTTACAACTGAAGGTTGTTACTCCTTATTTCACGTATACAAACCAGCAATCTTTTTTCAGACTTTGGAGTTTTGTTTCTGGTATCTGAGAACTGAAAACTCAGCAACAGAAAGGAAACTCGGTGTGGTGCCGTGTGCCGTGATGGATAGATAACAGCCAAACCTCCGTGTAGTCACTGCACAGAACTCATGTCAAATTTCAGCTCAGTTTTCTGTGTGCAAAAACAGGATTTCTTGTCAGAGAGTTATTTTTGTGTGTCTTTATTTTTCCATATTATTTGTGAGTTTCTCTTGGTTTGGTTTTGGCTATGATTTTTTAATGAGTGGTTTAAATGTGCCTTCTTGTTTTCCTTATGGCCTATGACCTATCACCTTTCTGTTCTGTGACTGGCTGTCTCTGCTTATTCTGCATTAGGAGGTACGTATCTGATTGCTTTCCAGTGCCCTCTTGTTCAGTTGCTCATTCTTTTATTTTCTTCCTCCTCCCTCCTCTGTTTTCTTTTTCTTTTTTTTTTTGTCGTTTTCTTTTAGTTTTCTTAGTTATTTTTTCTTAAATTTATTGTAGCATTTTGCTTTTTCACTCGGTGTCACTAACAGTATCATCAGAGGTATTCTGTCCACAAAGGCTGGCATGAGTGTCTAGCTCATGTGCAAGTGTCTTCTGCAAAAGAAGGTGTTTAAGCGGAAAGCAGAAAAAGAGACGACTTCACTGCATTCACTGAAGAATATAACTAGAAGAACAATTTTGACCAAGAGAAAAACATTTTGTGCTCTTATAATGAAGATCCAGCGTGATTTTGTTACTTGTACATCTGTACATTAGAATTTTGGAAAAACCTGATTGCATTGGAACTTCACATACATCACAGCTGCTCTTCTTCCTGCGTATTTTCTTTTGTAAACATCCTACTGAGCAAGCCAAATACATTCTTAAATTAGTGTGAAGTTTAGGGGGGCTGGAACCTTTGGTGATTTGCAGTCCCCTGGCACTGCGCTGTGTTACGGCCTCAGTTAAACAAACGAATCCCATCAGCTTTACTTGTGCTCAGGGACTCTTCTCCTCTGTAAGGCAGTAAAATTTGTCTTTTTCATTTGCTTTTTTTCCCGATGCAATAAATCTCTTTTCTACAAAGCCAGTAGTGACACACTCCATTGGAGCCAGTGTTAGGCCACTTGAACTTACTAAAGAAGAGGGCACTTCACACTTGGAGAATGGTGACTGCAGTGTGAAGAGGGATCCGCGCTTGGGGTGAGAGGTGGGCTGTGCACTGTGGTGAAAGTTGAGCAAGGGAGAGCCGTGGGCTCTCTGCTGGTGTTTGGAAACCAGCAGTTGTGCTACTGCTGGAAGGACACATGAGCAGCTATTTGTAAATTGTTCAGGTGCTCTGCAACGTCTGGTTTTGACCTCTCCACTATAGAGAGACTCTTTGTCTAACTGCAAAAAAGAGCAGAGCTGATTCCTTGCTCATTTTGGCATGCAGTGGCTGAGCTGCTACAGTTTCAAAGACGACTTTGCAGGTTTTCTCCATGTTATAGTATGAGGCAATAGCTATCTCAGCTGAAAAGCTTTTAAGACAAAGTAGAAAAAAATGCTTGTTCTGGAGGTTGGGAATAAACTGTCTGAATACAGTGAAAACTGCACATTTATATCCGTTCACTCGTAAGTTTATGCACACACAGTATAAATAGGAGTGCTGTGTATGTAGAGGAGTACCAGCCATACACCATGGAAGAAGTTGTCAACAGAACACATATGAGAGATCTACATAAATAAATATGTAGAAGGAACAAAGAAATGGAACAAAAAAGAGTGGCTGAGCGCTGCCAGGTGCTTCTGTAGAAGTGATCTCTGGCTCTGGCTTTGAGCACGGTGTGATGAGAGGCAGCACATGGAAACCCAGCAGCAAACATGTGGATGGGACTACAAGCTGCAGCCTGGCCTCGCAGCAGCAGGTTATCTGAATAGGGTGCACACAGATGCACTTTGCTGGGTTGTGTGCATTGACCAGAAATAAACAGTGCTTTTTTTCTTCTTTCTTTGTTTTTCTCTCCCTTGAGTTTCCTGCTTGCTAGGAGGTTTAAACAGTGAGGGGGTGCTGCCTTCATCCACACTGTCTGCATTGCTACAGACCATCTGCAGTCCTTTCTGTTGGGAAACATTCTGAAATTGATGGAGATTGTATTCCAGGCTGTGAGTTTAAGTGCTCCACTGTATTAATATTTGCTGAAGAGTTTTTTTAATATATAAAACAATGAAGATGAGCCTTTAAATCCAGAGTCTCTCAAGTCCTTATTTTGTACTTCTTACTGCTTCTCTTCCCATTTGGCTCCTTGTGCCAACTCACCATGTTGATTATTCTTTGGGCAGGAGATGGATGTTGTCAGTCTTTGATATGTCATACAGTTTGCTTCTCCTAAAGACTTCCCTAGCTCTGGAGCCTGGCATTGTGCTTTAGAAAGCCATGTTTCAAAAATGCTTGCTTTCGTGAAGCTTCCTGCTCTGAATTCAGTTCAGCTGTGGCTCAGTGCAAATTCAAGCACCAGACTGGGTGTTGGGCAGCACCTCTGGTTTTAGCTAGCTAGACTCAGCCAGTTGCTTTTCTGTCGGTGGTTTTAATAAGCCTATGTTGTGAACTACTGGAGAGAGTCCTGTGGAGAGCCACAAAGATGATGAGAGTCCTGGAGCATCTCTTTTAGGAGGAAAGGCTGAGACACCTGAGGCTGTTGAGCTTGGAGAAGACCAACAGGGGATCTTACCAACTAGAGGATGGGTGTCACATGGATGGGGACAGATTCTTTTTGGTAGTGCCCAGCAACAGGGAGGGCATTTCTGTGTCTGAAATGGCTTCAGCTGGCAAGCAGCTTGGTGTGTGTGATTTCCTCTGGGGAAAGGAAAGCTGTGATGTTGCTCTTCTGAACAGGACAGGAAGCGACTCCAGCCTGACACGAGATGTGAACTTCGGCTGCCCATCAGGTGGTTGCTCATCCTGGTGCCTCACTGCCTGCTGTGCCTGTGGTGTTTGTTGCAGTGCTTCTGTCCTTGGGAGGATGGCTCTGCTTTTCTCAAATCCAACGGGGGAGCAGCAGTCAGGAAGCTGAGGGCCTTCCTGAGTGTGGGTTTTATTTCTGGTACCTTGCTGTGCTCTTATGTCACCCAGAGCTGGAAAAAAATTATTCCTGTGTTGGGTTATGTAGGCAAAGAAGATCTGTATCCCTCTTTGTCTGCACTTGGCCTTGTTATGGCCTTTACGTGTAGTTCCCTTAGAATTCTGCCAACAAGATGATACACTGCTTTATTTTGTTATTTAAGATGTCTTTGCATTTTAATTTATCAACTGGATCTTTGAGAAGTACATCCTCTGCATCTGTCCATTTCTGTAAAGCTTTATGGATTCATACGCTGATTGCCTTGGTCCTCTTCTGATAAATGAGGCCTTCTTAGCTGTAATCTTTAAAAGGCTGGAATAAGGCAGGGAGCACAGCACTAAGCAGTGTGATGTTTTGTGAGCCTGCAGCAATCTTGGCCAAGAAAAATAACATTTTGTTATCAATAGTTCCTACACATTAATCTTGTGCGCTGTGTTTGTGGTCAGTACAGCCTTATCAACCAGCTTCCTGCTTTTAGCCCACGGTAAGGGCAGATTAAATGCACGTTGTACAGGGATGCCTGCAACCATGATGAGTGCAGATCAGATTGCCTTTCAAGTTTATTAAAGAGTTTCTGTTCTGCTGGACAGCTGCAGCTGAGTATTGGGGTAGAGATACAGGCTTATATTTGAGAACGGTTGATCGTTTTGGAAGAAAAAAGTCCTGCTTCGATGCCTTTTTTATGGAAGAGTAACGCATTGCTTGGTGGAAAAGGCACCTGTGCTCTTGTTATGGCACTCAGCTGAGCTGCAGAACCTGGCTGGCTGAGAGGGATGGGAGCAGCAGTTAACAGTGCAGTGACCCTTGGACTGCATGAAAAACGTGGTGGTAGAGTGAAAGGATGGACTGCCCTGGCAGTCAGCTTGACTTGGCTGCTGCTTTTTCATTGATCCAGAAGTGAATCAGGGTGTGGTTTGTTGGCTTTCTGTTCCCAGACCGAATACCTGGTGCTGCTTGAACCAGCTCTCAGTCAAGCAATGGGAATTTCTGTAGTGACTTACGTGCCAGTTTGAGTGTTTCTACAGTGCCTTATTTAAGGACCTGTCACAGTGGTTGTACTCAAATGCCACCAGTTCTTCCCTCACTGTCTCCAGTTCACTCAACCATCCATTCTGTCACAGCTTTTGCATCTTGCACTATTTTGCCTTCTCTTATTTCACCACACCTGCTTGCAGATTAATTTTTTCTTGAGATGTGTGTGTGTGTAGTGGAAGCATAAAATCTGAGTCCTCTGGATGCTGCAGTGTTTGCACTGCGTTATCCTGAGGTCCTAAAACCGACTGAACGGAAGGTGGAGCATGCAGCAGGACTTGGTCTGCACTGCAAATACTTGTCTATGGATCTAAAACAAAACGAGATCCCCAGAACTGCTTTTTAACTTCAGTACTGAAATCCAGAGTATCAACAAAATTCCCACTATCTGAAGAAGAGCAGTTGGCTAAAAAATTCTTTCTTAAATTTGTTTATGACTTTAAATAAATGGGGAACCTTGTGTGTATTCACAGAACTATTTTGTGCAAGGGTGTTCAGTAGGAAAACCAATTATTTGGAGACAGTAGGAATAATGAGAGTGACTGATTGCTGGATGGATGATGCACAGGTGGAGCCTCAATCCTGAAGTCGTTTAGCTATGGTGGAACTCGGCCTGTATGTTTGTCACATGGGAGTTCTTTATTTACTTCCTCTTCCCTGGAAATGATTCTTGAAAGTTTCACTTATGGGATAATGGAGTGGTTCTTAGGCAGAACAGGGGATGGAAGGACTGACAGCAATGTGTGTTCCTGCAAGGAGCTGATCCACGCAGCGGGACATCAGCAGGCGTGAGTGAGCAGTGCAGCAGCTGCTGCTGTGGGGAAATGATGGCATTTCTGGAGCAGGAGCTGTGCCTTCTGTCAGATGTACTCAGGGGCACGTCTCCCATTAGGAGAACAATAAATTATTGAAAGTGAGTACAAGCACTTTGGTGTAGGATTTCTGCATTTGCTCCTTGTTGTTGACTCATCAGATTTGTTCTGCTTGCAAGCAGCAGTGTTTATAAGCACTTAACACACTGGATGCTAAATGCAGAACTACAGAGAGGTTCATAATCACGTGTGAAGTCACAAGTGGAAGGAAGGTGATAAAATGTCCTGAATTTTACTGAGGAGACCCCATCCTTGTGAAAAGGCAGGCTGTGGGCAGGGCTGGCCCCGTGGTTGGAGCCCAGTTCCTGCTTTGCTGCTTTCCCATAGCAGCACTGGCTCTGCATTTCTGAGGGCTGTACAGCAGTAGTATCAGGGCTCTGCTGAGCCCTTGGGTTTGGGTGAAACCTGAGAGAGTGTACAGACTCCTGCCATAATGCTTTTGTGCACCATAGTTAATGCTGACTCAGGAGCTTTGTACAAGTTACAGAAATGTTCCTAACCTCAGCTCATCTGTGCCTGATCCATCTGCAATTAAGCAATTAAAATATATATTGGAAAAACAAACAAAACTCAATTGCTTTCTTCTTATCACTTGCTGAAGCCCTGACAGTGACGTGTTCAACTTATCAATGCCTTTTGGTTATAGGGGGAAGAGTAAAAACATGGAAACGAAGGTGGTTCATTTTGACTGATAACTGCCTGTATTACTTTGAATACACCACTGTGAGTATACACTGCTGCGAGCTTCCTTTATTCTCTGGGTATGGCAAGGAATAATCAGGCAGTATTTTCTTTTTTTTTTTTTTTAGGACAAAGAACCTAGAGGGATTATTCCATTAGAAAATCTTAGCATAAGAGAAGTTGAAGACCCTAGAAAACCAGTAAGATACCCTCGTTATCATTTTTTCAGTGAATAAGTAAAACATTTGGAACTGAGATTGTAGTAAATGAATTTGTTTCTGGGTTGTTTGTTTTGCTTTGTTTTTAACATATTTTTCCATTCCTGCCCTTCAGAACTGCTTTGAGCTCTATAATCCCAGTCATAAAGGCCAAGTGATTAAAGCCTGTAAAACTGAAGCTGATGGCAGAGTGGTGGAAGGCAACCACGTAGTGTACAGAATATCTGCTCCCACTCCAGAAGAAAAAGAAGAGTGGATTAAGTCCATCAAGTGAGTTCAGAGTTTTAAATATCTTTCAGAAATGAAGCGTAAGCTCCTTTTCTGAATAAGATATGAAGAGACCTTGCATTTTAACTTGTTTAAAGAGTTCTGATTCGGCAATATCCTCTGGGATTAAGGTCAGGATCTTTGGGGTGGATGAGTCAGGCTGTCTGGTCCTAAGTACCATAGCAGGTTCTAACTCAAATGAAGAAAATGTTTTGTTTTTTTTTAAAATTGAATCTTTTCAGCAAATGTAAAGCCTTTTGAGAACCAACCCTAACCCTGATTTTATGCTGTTCTTCTTGTGTTTGGTGACAGCTATCTTGAGCTTGTTCACAGTGCGGCTCAGAACTTTTATAATTTGAATTCAACTTGAGGTTTATATAGCAGACCCAAACTTAAAGGAACAAGTTATGTTCAAGTTATGTTCAAGATGGAAGTATGAACTCTTTAACAAATTATAGCTAAGCACCCTCTGTTTATAAACAAATACTTCTGATGGTCAGAGGAACCGCAGCTCCTCCCTGGGAGTGGAGGGCAGCGCTGAGCTCTGCTCCCTGGCACAGTGACAGGGCGCAGTGAATGGCACGGAGCTGTCAGGAGCGGTGGATGGGGGGCAGGGGAAGGTGCCCACCAGAAGGCAGTGGGCATGGACCAGGCCAACAAAGGTGGTGTGCACAGCCCCGTGCTGCCAGCGCTCACAAAGTGTTTGGACACCGCTCCCCGACATGGGGTTTGGATTTTGGATCGTCCTGGGTGGAGCTGAGAGTTGGACTCAGTGGTCCTTGTGGGTCCCTTCCAACGTGAGCTGTGCTGTGATTGTAGGTCAGCAATCCGTTATCTTATTAGAAGTGGGGAGCCAGCCAAAGGGAAGAGAGAACAAATTTCAGTTTCCAAAAGCAGAGAACTGTTAACCAAACTGACAATTCGTGTTGTTTCTTCTAGAGCAAGTATCAGCAGGGACCCCTTTTACGACATGCTGGCGACAAGGAAACGAAGAATTGCAAACAAGAAATAGGACTTGATGGGTAGCATGGATACCTGCATCCACTTCTACATGGGCTATAATGGAGTGTAATGTAAACCTTGGGCAAACTAAAGGAAGACAGTAACTGTACATTTATATATATATATATATAAAATTATATATATATAATGTGTGCATGTATATATACATATATACACACACACTTTACTATGACATAAAATCTCGGCAAGACCTTTCAGCGTAGTTATTGGCATATAATTTGAAGTAAGCTTCAAATCCCAGAGGATAATTTTCTTGGAACTTAATTTAACTGACGACATGGAAGCTTTGTTTCCACTTGTGTTAGTTGTAACTACAGTTGGCGTGGACTGGGAGGGAAAGAATGGTAAAATATCCTATACCTGCTTCTTGAGCTCAGTGCCCATAAATGGGAAAAGCATTTGAAGTACTTCTTTCTCAGTAAAATGCAACACTAAAAACTGGAGTAGAGGGCAGCCTGGCACTTTTCTGTAGGCAGGAAACCCACAATCTCAGTTTTCAAGTCTTATGTCTTGCAGTAAATGAAGCTTTCATTTAGAGCACATGATCCACCTTCTAGAAGCAGTTTTTCTTCTTTGGAAGTGCAGCTCAGTGTCAGACAGGCAGCTACATCATTAACCAGTTGTGCCAAAGGGTTGGAGTGAATGCACTGAAACACAGGCAGGTCCCACCAGCAAAGGCCTGTCTGCAGCCACAACACTGCATAGATGTGGTTTGGTATTTGCCAGAAGGCAAAAACTCTTTCCAGTCTGCTCACACGATAAGCGGTGAGAGTTAATGACTGGTTTAATCTGCTTTTTCTGTAGTAACATCCTTCCTATGTTTTAGATATATTGTAGTTTAACTAACAGTATTAAAGGAATAAGGTGACAGAGCGTGCACGAGTTGCAAGGGTTCAGGCTTTGCATGTGAAAACAGCCTGAAATAATAATTTCACATGCACTTAATGTTTTTAAAGGGAGAAAAGCCAGGCTAGTGTATTCTTCCTGTAAGATACAGCCCTAGTAGGTGAGCAAGCAGCACTGATTCATTCCTTTGCTTGATAACAAACTTTGAACATACAAAGAATTTAAATATTTTCATTACATTCTTAGAAGATATTTGTTTCAGACTTGCACTTCAGTAGCTGAAGTTGAAAACACGAGTAGATATCCCTCTTTTTACCTCAAGAACGCAACCTGACTGCAGTCAGCCCCTGCACAGTTTCTTACAACGTATGGAAGCTGGTCAGGGTCTCGTGCTGAGGCGCGTTCTGTCACAACACTTCCTGGTGGCAGTGCACATAACATTCTTGAGGTGCAGCCCCTCACTGCACAGCGAGGGCAGGAAGTTTCTTTGGATCCTACTACTTCCAGCAGTGCTTTCATTTTTCCTGTCTTGTCGACCCTGAGCCATGTCTGCTGTGCCAATGGTGAGCCAGTGTGATGCCAAAGCAGTTTTGCTTCTTGGATACACAACAGGGAATTCTGCTGTAACACTAAGTTACCTTTTTCAAATCTCATTTTACCCTTAAAGTGCTGTTTGATTTGTGGTTGCTGTCTTACAGATTTGCATTGCTTTGCGCAGGGTTTCAGCCTGTGACTGTTCTGCTTTCTTGCATGCTTCAGAACAAGGCTGAAACAGACTGGGGTCACCCTTCCCCAGAGCGTGTGGAACTGCAGGCTGCTTGGATGAATGCTCAGATCTGAGTGAGAAGCAAAACTCAGCCAAAGGAGGTAGAATCCCAATACTTATTATTAGTAAGTATCACTGTGGGCTATCTTTGTTTAATGAAAGCCATTTGAACTCTATGGAAACAAATGAAGTTGTAGATGCTGTGTCTGCAAAGCAGCTGCTAGAAGACTTGAGTCTTCTGCTGCACAACTTCGCCTTCTCCTTTGAAGCCATGCACTCCCCAGCTGCAGCTCTGGATGAGATTTGTCACAGGAGCCAGTGAGTGCAAAGGTAAAACACAGCAAAGTCTATGCCCGGAGAAATATGAGATTACCAAAACACTTATAAGCCATGAAGCACTTTTTTTAAAATTGATTCTTATCTTCTGAGATATCATCTGCAAGAAAGTGTATTTATTTAACCAGATGAGGAAGTCTGCTGATAAGCATGAAGGAAATGCCTTGAGAGTTCATTTGCTGTACTTAGCTGGAAGTTCTTATATCCTGCACAAGTAATTATTCACAGTAACAGCTATCTGAGGATACTATAGCAGGAAATATAGTATTTTGTAGCATTAAAATGTGAGATCTAAAACAGCTACTTGCGGTGCTCAATATAGCTATTTAATTTACCAAAGCTAATGGAATGTCTTTCTTGTTTGTAATGATATTTGATTTTAAATGGTGGTTGTTTTATTTGTAACAGTATTAACACGGAGTGAAACTGGCCCAGAATTTCCACTGGTCACGAGGCCAGTAAAACAAAGTGGCTTGTGAAAGTTCAGGCCAAGTTCAGGTACTATCCATGAGGGTAAAGAAAAATCTCTCAACCTTTCCCTTCCCGATTGGGCCTCAAGTCCAGGTGTAGCTTAGCACAGCGAGCTGCTCTGTGGCCTAAAGCAATACCTGCTAGCGTTTGGCCGTGCTGAGGAAAAGTCCCCTGGGAATAACAGCCTTCTCCCTTCCTGTTGCACTGAAAGCTGTGTAATTGTTCAGCTCTTTGGTTTTACCATTGCCTTCTGAAACTGCAGGAGCTAGCAAGAGCCACTACTGCTTCTGCCACAAGTATGGCTTCTCTAATATCCAAACCTTGTGGCCATTACCTTCAGCCACGGTGCCAGTGCAGTCTGGGGAGAGAACTGTACACAACACTTAAGCTCAGCTGGACTGACTTAAATTTTACAATACTCTGACAAAGTAAGTTCTACACTGCTTAACATCTTGAACAGTTTTAAACCGGTACAAAACAACCTTTATAACCCAAGCAGCATTTATAATGCTTCATATATAAAAACAATACATATTTTTTAAAGTTTATTACATATCTATGTAGATATGCTTGCTGGAAAAGCTGGGTCTGTTGTAGACCAAATGCTACAAATGAAGACTTGTGGCTTACCAGTTTCTTTTCTATATTTTCTTGGAAAATGTTTCTAGTTAGAGTATAAATATAAGATGTAAATTCTGTACAGATATGTATTGATATAAGCATTACTTGGTGTACACAAGTAATTTGCATGACAAATACTCCGTATCAATCATTGTTAAAAATGTAATGTTCTGTGTAAATCCACTGCAATATTAACGTTGTCATTTATCATTAAGACCTTTTGCTTAAACCTGGACATTCTCAAAAATAAAGTGTGAAACTATATGCTGTTGTAGAGCTCCTCATTTAGCAGAGCTGAGTGTTAATTGGTCAGATTTGTGTGTAGAGATGGAGTCAATTTATAGCATGGATGATAACTGCTCCTGTAAGCACCCTTCTTAACACACCAGACAACTTATTCAGATGAAACCGTAATTAAGGCAGGTTCCCTGCTCACGTGCAGTAAGAGCAGTCATTCCCTCTGAACAGCTGCACTTCAGTGGGAGGTGACTCCAGAGTCAGACTGGAACTCCCCAGAGGAGCTCTGCTATGCTCACCTCACGAGCACAGCCAGTGAAGTTCCTGTGTTGCACACAAGACCAGAGGCTGTCCAAAAGGAAAGTGCTAAGGAGAGCTGACAGATGCCTGGCTGCTGCAGGAGGAGGGGGATCTGAGAGATCAAAGTGGCCATTAATTTTTATTTCTTTATTCAATTAAGATTACATTTGTTTAAAGACCTAAAAGCCCTGCATTGTCATGAAAGGGAATTACTGATTAAAGAAAAGAATAATTAAGATGCTGATTTTGATAACGCTGAGTGGTTGGTTTCAGAGGTTAAAGCCTGGATTTGATGGAGAGCTTTTTTAGTACAGCAAGTCTCGTCCTTGTTGGCTCTCTTTATAGTGAGGTGATGGTGCTGATTGGTAGTTTGCATCTGAAAGGAAAAGGGAAGCACTGTCATCCCTGTTCTGAGATGCAACATGTAACTGGTTCAGCAGTTCTAGGTCAGTCACAAAGCTGCGCACAGTTGACCTGTGATCCCAGACCGAGCTGACTGAGGTGGCTTCCAAGAGCCTCACAGTAAACGTGCCTGTATTTCAGTGCTATGCTAACTAACAGTAGAGAACAGGAGGACAAAACTACCTGCTTTAACAGCAAACGGCAAACAAACCTGAAGGTTTGCTTGGACAACATCCTTGTTCTGTGAATGATCTTGTGGTCAAACTGACTGAGTAATAGCCACGACAGCAGAAGCTTTTACAAACTTGCTAGAGAGAACACATAGGAGTGAAGGAAATGAAGTGCTCCTCCCACCAATCTGGATTTTCCTCAAATCACAGACAATCCTGCTTAAGAGACCCCTCTTTCCCCTCCCCCCACCCCTTTCCTCTTAAACACTGACCACCACAAGGAGTAATGAGGAAATACCACCCACTCTTCCTTGACAAAATGCAATTGCTTTGCACAGCCCCCTTTGCCCTGCCTGCGGGGTACCACTGTCACATCTCTCAAGGGACATCTCTTTCACTGGCACAGCCCAATAACCTGAATGCCCTGGCTGCTGCAGTGGGATGCAAGACTTCCACTTTCCTGCTGCACTTCTACCTGGCTTTGAAAAACGAAAGGAGTTCGCCATCTGCTGGCCACAGAACTCACAGCGTGTCGGAGCAGATGCACGCGGCTCCTGAGTACAATCAGATTAAGTACAATCAGGATGCCTCTGTCATGAATATCATGAAAAAACTGGATTTAGAGCAGTGATATTTTTAAGTCCTCGGTCCAGTCCTTAATTTTTTCTGAGGAAAGGGATACATACACTATCCAAGTTTATACAAGGACTTGTGAACAATCAGCTTCCTCCCCAAATTGTATTTTCAGATTAAAACTTCTGGTCGTCCATATCTGAAAACGCGAACATGTCCTTTGATGATCATATTTCATTCAGAAACTATTTCAGTAACAATGTCTGTTTCTGGAATGTGTGCAACTGAATAAAATTGCCATAACCTCATCAAGAACAGCGAGCAGATGTGATTCTAACAATGTGGACCCAATCTCTGTCGGAACTCAGATCACCAGTATCTTTCCTATCCTCACTTGATCAACCTAATGACAGAGCCCCCATGCAGATCACATTCTATAGCTAAGTTAGAAACAAGGAACAAGAGGAAGACATGAGAAACACTCAGAAAAGAATTGCTGATGATGCTGGAACCCTTGCTTACTTGTAGCACCTTTGATGTTTATCTTCAGGCTTTTTGGCTTTCTTAGGTTTTCTACTTTTTTCCCCCTCTTCAGTCTTTCTCCATTTCTGTTCTGGTTCACACTCACTTTTTTTCCTTGATTGCTTTCTTTTCCTGGTTCTTTGTTCCTAGGAGGAGGTCCTCATCAATGATGTGCATCCTTCTTGCTGGAAAGTGATACAGAACACGTGCATTAGGCTACAACCTGCACAGCAGTCTCCCTACACTGACTGCCCCTTTTAGTACAGTAACACATCACTGTAATCTCTCCTCTTTTCCAAATTAACCAGCTGCAGGTAACAAATACACAGCGATTTGTGCAGTGCAGCAGGTTAAGGATAATTATGGAAGCTAATGCATGACATCATGAATTTCAGGGAAGACAGAACTGAATTATACAACTAACACCATTCTCCTAGGACAGAAAGAAAAAAACTTGGAAGAAAAAAGTAAGTGACAAGAAAGTAACTACAGTCTCCACAGATATTACTGTTTACCATTTCCTGATATCTAGAAGTAGGCACGCATCCTGACCAAGAACTGCTGACATATCTGTTCAGGGAAGCTCATTACCAAGGGAGTGGTGAGGTGCTGGAACAGCTACCCAGAGAGGCTGTGGATGCCTTGTGGTTTCAAGGCCAGGTTGGATGGGGCCCTGGGCAGCCTGGGCTGGTATTAAATGGGGAGGTTGGCGGCCCTGCATGAGGGGTTTGGAACCTGATGAGCCTTGAGGTCCCTTCCAACAAAGCCACTCTGTGATACCTGAGTAATTTTTGCACCTGCAAAAGCTGCAGATCTTTTCAGTGATACTGATACCATCTTTTAAAGTCAGTTTATGTTTGCTTAAAGGCCTTCTAAACACTGAGATGCCATGTAAGGAAATTAACAATTAAAAAAAATAATAAAGTTGCTGATTTTATACTGAATCCTAAAAAATGTTGGATCAAAACCAACCAGAAGTAATCACAGGAAATGCTGTTCCTCAGTGGTTTTGCTAACATTTGGCATCAGCAGTTTTTAATTGGAACCTTATCTGGACGAAGTGCAACAAAAACCTTTCACATCTCATTGTTCAAAACCATCAGCAATTAAAGGGACCCTCAATTGTTTTTGTTTTGTTTGTTTGTAAAGCCTTCTTGCTGTTTAACTCATGAGAACAGAGATAAATACCCCCCTCACTTCCTCTTTCCAGCCCATTCCCACATCTAATAATGCACAATTCTGATCTGTCACATAGAACAAAGTTAAGCCAAGCATTTACTGTGCCAGCAGCCACCAACCCAGCAGAATCCTGTAACAAGCAATACAAATCCACAGAAAAAGGAAACTGTTTTTAATCTCTTAACATTGATGAGACAGAAACATGTCTTGTTTATGAAGAGCATAAGGTACTTCACAGTACTGAGAAACTGATGTTATTCAGAGCAGTCCACATTTTCCTCCAACAACTTCACACAGCAGATCTGAAGAATTCACACTACACTGACTAAAATAATTACACAAATCTCATTTTCCCAGGGGAGCAAATGCACTCTCATGCAGAAGAACCCGAAGCTACGTCCAATGACAGCTAAGGAAAAAGTCCCTACAGAGTTACTTAAGAAGCACATTCTCATCTTAGGAACTGCTTTGAAGTTTTAGGTCTAGCTGTGCCCACCAGAGGGCAGAGCATTCAAATGTCCCGACTCAACACAGAATTTCACTGCTGACAACTTTATCATTAATTAGAATAACAACTCAGATGGGGAAAAAACCCAAACACAACAGTTGTTGTATCACCAGAAATATAAATGAGGCTCCCTGAGATCTACCAAGTTACGACACGACTTTGCAGCACTCTTCAATAAGCTACTTGAGATTAAAAAAAATACAAATAAAAGCCTCAGAATCAGGAAGAGAGTAAGGTTTGTGAGTGTAACAAGGGAGACTTGGTGGGGAGAAAGCAGAAGGGGAGGGACACAGAACCCTAAATTTCCCTTTCAGTTCACCTGCAGGTGTGATGCCAGTCTCAGCAGAGACGTGTGCTTGCACCCTGCACACCGACACAGCTCCCTCTGTGCTCCCAGTGCTCAGGTGCCTGATGCAGGCCAAGTAACCCGAGGGATGCCTCCAGTTTAGCACCAACTTTTGTTCATTTGTGCAACCTAAATTTTGTCCCTGTGGAAATTCTTCCTCAACAGTGAGTTTCACTTCTTTTCATTCTGAATATCCTGACTGCATTTCTTCCAGTACTTTCTTATCTCATTCAAGATCACATAAGAAAATAAATAATTCTGAATATGAAATGAATAAAATCGTACTCCTGCATTGCTTCTTGCTCACTTTCCATCTGATTTATCCTTTCTGCTGCTTGCTCAGCACAGTATAACCTGAACAATACTCTCTTAAAGGCTTATCTTATTTCCTCCTACTTTGTAGAAGGAAGTAGTAGTATATCAAGGAACTTCCTCAGGAGTTACACTTCTCAGACACCATTTTGTTCCAACTTCTCTTCCTCTGAGTATCTGGACTCACAGCCATAGATAACTTCAATAAAAGAAAATACTGCTGTCACCTTTACACCTACCTTAGAATTTCAAGATCATTATTGTAGGCATTTCAACTCACCTGGATAGTTGCTTCCAGGAATCTCCCTAAAAATGCAAAGATGAAAAGGACAGTGATGCTTTTAAAAACAAACACCACAAAACAAAACAGCCCCCACTGGCTATCCTGCAAACAGTACCTTCTTTGAACTATGCTATTTACAGACTACAGATTGTTATATAATGGCAAAAGTGACCCAGAAAACAAGCACTAATACACACACATGTACTCCCATGTGTGCTAATGAACACCAGGTGGCATTACCTGCCTCATTTACTGCCTTTACCCAACAGTAGGTGGCTGGGACATTGCAATCCGGGTAGTAACTTCCAGGCAGAAAGTGCTCTCAAAGCTGATACGAACTCATCAACATAAGAATATGAAATGCAGAGCCAAATTTTGTTGAAACCTGAACGTTGAGCATTCAGTTGCTGCTGTGTTAAACAGATGCAGATGGCTGGGCAGCCAGAAGACTGAAGCCAGGCAGGCAGTGCTGCTGCTTTACATTTTCCCACTGCAATTGCTGGGGATTACAGGCTTAGTTGCCAACAAAATGCTACTAGAACTGAAATGCACATACAAGCAAACACATTTAAGAGGAGAAATAATTCTCTATTCAGCTTATTTTATGCATCATTTTTGGACACATTTTTTAGACCAAATGAGGTCTCTGTGGGGAAAGCACTAAAAAGCAGAGAAAAGACATGAGTTAAGTCTTTAAATATGTAAACATACTAAAGAGAAGGAAGTATAAGAGACCAAACTACAAAAAGGAAGAGTTAGGTTGGACACTGTGAATGAGGCTTAAGGGCTGGGTTAGTCACAGCTCTTAACAGCCACCTAAGAGCATGAGAACAAGGGAGAATCTCAGTCACTGATATCCGTATTTTTCTAAAAATTCCTCCCTGTCAAAAGTGCTTCACCAGTTCTGACCCAGATCCCCTGAACTTGAGTAATAATGCTCTTCTTTTCCTCCTAAATTAGACATGAAGAAAGAACCTTACATCTTTAGTTCAGTTTATTTCAGACAAATTTGAACTAAAGATGCTGAACTATGTTTTACACAGCTTTTTGATAGCAACGTAAATAAATCTGATCCTATTTTTCCATTAAGAGATTCCCCACTGCTCAGTGCAAGAACAGATTGCATTACCTGTTACTTGTTGATTTCCATCCTTGTAAGTACTTACCAAAATTTAACTGGATTTTATCTCCCTTTCAGCTTGAGACTTTCCTGAATGGTAAATTCCAGCCCTGAAGAAGGAAGAACCTTTTTAACAATTCAAAATAAAACAGCTATCTGCACAGCAATAGTAGGGAATAGTAGGGAAAGCAGTCAGTGCTGATGAGTTAGGGTTCTGATGATGAATGTAAGGAAGCACACCTAGTATAAAATGACAGCTTTTCACACAGAAACACCTGGGGCCGCAGTCATCAGTACGACAGGAAATCAAAATCTATCAGAAGATACCAGACACCACAACATCAGCTACCTAAAAATATTTAAAAAATCCTTGTCAGTAACAAAATTGCTTCTTCAAAAGCATGAATACACTTAAAAGATGACAGACTTTTTCCAGGTGAGGTTAAGTACAAGTCAGCTTCTTTGTGAAAGCAGCACATCAGATTTGAACCCATGCAGGGATGTTGCTGACTTTTTCTCCAGAACTGCTACCAAGCTGTTCAATGCATTCTGGAGAAACTGACCTCTTACCAGGGAAGTGCCCCAACCCACAAGAGGCCTAAGACAGAAATGAAACAGCCAAAAAAAAAAAAAAAAAAAAAAAACAACCAACCCAAAAAACTACACAGAAAAAAAAGCACTTGTCATTGTCTTGTTTTACTACTGGTTGATTTTTCCCTTATCAACATAGATATTGTTAGAAGAGGAAAAACTCTTTGTGACTGCTTACCAGTTTCATATTCTCCCTGCGTGTCTTTAGAATCCATTCTCAGAAGTCAGAAACCAAACCATGAAATGTATGCCTGCATCAAAATGAGGTTAAATGAAGTTAAATGTTTATTAACATTTTTATTGATTAGTTATAAAGTTGTACTGCTGTACAGTTAGAATGGAGCTGAAATGGCTCCTACAGTTGTTCACAGAGACCAAACAAGCAGCTGGGCTCACATGGGTATGCTGCTTTTAGGCACTAACATTAATTGGTTTTTCACAGTTAGCTTGGTACAGCTTGCATGGACTTTATGAACATCCTCATGCTCTGCTCAGAGCTGAAGCCAGAGCATGTGATGCTGACTTGGCTTTACCTATTTATCATACATAAACCGCTGAGTAAATAAACCCTCATTTCATCAAAGCCAGAACATAATTTACTGCATTGCAATGGTAAGAACTGAGTAAAATTTAGTATCATCACCACATCATCTCATAACTGCAATCTGGAATGCACTTACATTTGCACTTAGCAATTGCACAGCTGTCTGAAGGTGAGGGCCACAGGTGATACAAGCACTGAGCCTTAAACACAAGATCCTTTACTATTTCTCAAATTAGGCCTCTCAAGATTGGTTTTCACCTGCACAGTCAGGCAGTGGGTGATGTGTTTCAGTAGCGGTGACAGAGGTGTGAAAGACAAGCCATATTCTGGACAGCTGTTATGCCACAAAATGAGGAGCACCTCTATCAGCTCATCCAAGTGAACTGACTGATGGTGGTGACCATATTGAAAACCAGCGTTTTGTAGCTAAGAATTTGCTCTTTCGGAAGGTGTTGTTATGCTCTGTCGTAGCTTCCATGGAAATAAATAGGAGGCATTACTTTCAGAGCAACCTACTTGGTACCTACTACACACCTTTAGCATCTCCAGCTGTACAAGTTCACAGATATTTCTGCACAGAGCACAAAATTCTTACGCCCCAAAACTTGGTAGCAAAGTTGATGTTTTGAGCATTTATCCCAGGCTGAGAAAATTCAAAAAGCACACGGCCTCACATTTTGGCCAGGTGAGTTCCTCAGCATTCAGGCAAGCTCAGATTTGTTTCAGTTACGGCTGCTAATGCAGTGTGCACTTCCAGGAATCTCCTCCTCAGGGTCCCAACAACCAAGCTCTAGAACAACATCCCAGCTCTGAGCCCCAGCTCTGCAAGGCAGGGCTCGAGGAGTTGTGTAACTCCTCTATGTACACTGACACACAACAGCAACACAGCCCTGCACACACCCCCAGTTTACTGCTCAACTTGAGACACGAGATGCGAAAAAGGGAAAATTCACAGTACTCAACAAGGCCCTGCAGCACCAAACAGCTCCCTCACAAAGACACCCTGCAGCAGCCAGCACAGCTTTCCCTCCACCTGCAAGCAAACTCAGCTGCAGTCACAGCGATCATTACAAGCTCCTTCTTCAGAAGTTCAACGTTCAGCTTCTTTTGCTTTGAGTTCCCAGGAAAGCACTTCTAAAGTGAACCGTTAGAAGAACATCCTGTCTTGGCTTCAAAACCTGAAGTTACTAAGTGTCTACTAATGTCAATGCAAATCTTCTTGAAGCACTTTTTCAGTTAAGAGGTGGATCTCTGATCAACAGCCAAGCAACATTCATAACTTCATAATGATGAAATACGGAAGGCTTCCCAGGGAGCTAGAACTAGCACCTGTATGTTTTTAGTGAGATCAAGCACTATGATACAGGGTTTTTGCTCCTGCTTCCAGGATTTTACTATCTAGTTAGAAAGCATAAGACGAGCTCACTTACAACAAGTTTCAGGCTTCTGACCTGAGAAGCGTTTAAATAGAAAAGCATCTATCACTGGATAAAAGAAAATGGTTGCCAGCCAGTATGTGACCAGATATATTTTTTTTAATGACTACAGTATTCCACAAGAGAATCCTCCCCAGCACTAACCCAAAGTACAAAATTGTGTCAAAATCCTGTATACACGCTTTGGCATTTCCATCAGCAAAGCCTCACAACAAAGGACTTCCATTGTACAACTGCACCCAACAGGGCCTGGTCTGGAATACTGAACTCAAGGATGGAATTGCATCCCTCTAAAATCCAGCCCTTAGTCTGTAAAGATCTCTCTTAAAGATCTATTTAAGAGGTAGTGCTTAATTTCAGAAGGAAAGATGCAAACTCTGAGCCTGACTTCTCCCTCTTGTACGCTCCACAGGTAACAGGTTTGAAACCGTGAGCACTGAGAACGGCTCAACGCTCCGCATAAAAACAAACAGAAACAAATTACACTTCAAATCTTCCAGGCAGAGCTCAGGGGATGACTCTGTGCAGCTCCTCCACCTCCAGGCTCCACATCTCCTCATGCACCGGGTTTTCGGAAAGATCCGTCATCTTTATTGCTCGGAGCACCGGCTCGGGGCTGCACGACCTCACCACTCCCATCACCATCACGTACTTCCCTAAAAGAACACGGAAGAAATTCAGCTAACCCCTACGTCTTCATTTTACGAGCGGGAGGAGAACCGAGGCGCCCGCGGAAGCGCTACCTGCATCGAGGCACGGCCGCCCGCGGGGCACGTCCTCCACCCCTAGCACGGTGAAGGGGCCGCTGCCGTCCCGCAGCCGTGCCGAGCCGCCGCCTCCGCGCTCCACCTGCAGCACGGTGCCCTGCATCCACACGGCCCGCACGCACAGCGGCGCCCGGCCTGCCGCCGTCCGGTCCAGCCACCACGTCCCGCCGGCGTCGCGCGCCGCGCCCCGCAGCTGCGCGGCCAGCACCTTCAGCGGCGGGCACGGCGCCTCCCCCGCCATAGCACCGCCGAGAGAAAAAGGGCGGGAAAAGGCGCCGCGCCGCCGGAAGGCAGCACTGCGGCTGCGCGCCCGGCTCCGCTGCAAATGGCGTGAGCGCTGTGTCACGTGGCGTCCCGGGCCGTCCTACGCAGAGCCGCCACGCGCTGCTGGGGCGGCTTATCGGGTTGGGTTCCTTCCGCGCCTCGAGTTCCCTGAATGCCGGGAAATGAAACGGCAGCAAAGCAATCGCTCGTGTAAATGCTGGGTCGGGGGCTTGGATGGAGAAAGGCTGTTTTCTGCCGTCTGTAACCTCACTGAAGCGCTTTTAAAAGGCGTTTTCGCATGCTGATTTTCTCCGGGCTGCCTTTTGGATGCCCCTGGCTTTGTGATGTGACGCACAGACAGCGCGGGCAGCCGAACGCCGGGAGTCTTCAATTCCATCGCTCTGCTGATAGCACAGGCGGGCGGGGCTGCTTGGCTTCGATGTGAAATCCTGAGATGCTGTGGTTTCCTTTGGGTGGGCGGGTTGAGGTCTCATTTAGAAAGCAAGCCGAGAACGACGCTAACGGGAGGAAATAAACCACAGAAAAGCAAAAGAATGGGGCAGATCTGGTGGACTGTTCCCTCAGTTTGGAGAGTTCTGTGCTGCTGACAAAACATGCAGTGGGTACAAATGCAGAGAGAACTGACTTCCCTACGGCTGTTCTTCCTTAAAGCACATCTTGCTCTCCATTAAAACAGCCTCTGTTTAAAACAAACAGTTTGAAGTACCAGAATCCAGCAAATGACCTTTTTTTCCCCTACTCTCCCACTGTTCCATGAATTATTTATTCCAAATGTCTTTTCTCTGGGGACATTTTCTGTTTGGAGACGTTCTGTAAGTGGGTCTTTATTCCTTTTATAGCGTAAGGAAGCAGTTATTGTTTTGTTACCATTTACAGTAAGAACAAAAGATAATCTTAGTAATAACAATAAAAACACTGCCGTCCGAGTACAGCCATTTCAATACAGAATCATGTAATCTGGCAATCAAATCATATGGCTTACAGGAACAGAAAGACATTAGATGGTTACTGTATATGAATGCAGAATTTGAGCTGGGCTCGCTGGGGAAGAATGTTTGTAATTTATGCCCCTAAGCTACAGTCACTTGACAGCATCAATATTTTAGTTTCACATAAAAAAAATAATTGTGCCAAATATTGATAAAAGTATTGTATTCCTATTTGCTACCATATAATAGGAGGTTCTAATGCTTATTAAGCCATTAATTTTACAGATGAAGACAAGACCCCTACAAGAGTGTAATAAGTAGGAGAGACCATGAGGTCCCTTTTAAAAGATTTTCCTTAGAGAAACTGTTCTAAGAAGGGCAGTATTGCCAAGATACACCGAGTAATGGATGTGTTTTCCAAAACCAGAAAATCCGTTCCTTTCAGTAAAAAGCAAAGTTACACAGCACTGTGTGCAAAGTTCCTACGAAGAGCTGGCTCAGCACAGAGACATGTTCTGAGCTGCAGGAGGAACGCCTGTTGCCTAAGCAGGCAGTGTTTTCTGGAGGTGATTCCACAGCAATCACACTCAGTGGCAGTGGAGGAAGCTCATCACGCTGCTGGAAAAGGCTCTGAGTTGGTGGCTGGCAGGCTGTAAATTACACTGGATTAAATTTGATTGCATATTCTGAGAGTGTGCAGGATGAGACAGAGTTTTGGTTTGTGTGGGTTAGAAAGGACTCAGTCTGCTGGCTGCTGCTACACCATGTGCTTTCTAAAGAAGTAGTCTTCAAGGACATTACTCCTCACGCTGAAATGCACATGAGAGGTGCTGGCACAGCATGAGCAAGAAAAAGGTCAGACTACACATAGATAAGATAGTCTACAATACAGCAGGTGCCAGGTCTCTGATATTTTAGAGTCTCCCATCCTACCTGAAAAAGTTTTAAAGAGCTCTGTTCTAGTCCATTGATTAACGTCTACAGAAGAGTTTCTTTCATTTTCTCAGTGTCTCTTTCCTACTACTGAGAAGTCACTAACAAGACTTCTAGCACAGACAAGGAGCAGTCAGGCTTCACCTTTAAGAGATCTGCCTAAGCTGATGTTATTTTCTTATACTGCACACAAAGCTATATGAGACAATCCCAGGATTATAACATTCTGTGGCTTCCTGGTGTTTGTTTTGTACCACATAAAGGTGCAGAGTGGATATGCTGACACACTGCTCTGTGAAGCCTGGAGAAACACCCTCATCATTCGGGGCTTTTTTAGGCTATCTCATCATCACTGAACTTAAATTAATGACTTTAACAGATGAATGAGTTGGAATTAACCTATTGATAATCAGAGATATTTCCCTCCCTAACTCAAACTCCTGCTGCATGTATTTATGCTTTTATGCTTTGGGACTGTCATACAGATGCTAAAGTATGTTTCACCACTGATTTCAAATGACCTGGAGGCAGGCAAGTCATCTGCTGACACAGGAAGACTCCAGCTGCCAAACTGCAGTTAGCAGGTAGCTCTGAGTAAGCGGCACTTCAGGGGTGACTTGGACAAGGCAATGAGATCCTTCATTCATGAGCTGTCATCAAAACACTGCTAATAGCAACAACAACAGTCTGGACTCTCCCATATCGATGTCCTGCCAAAACTGTGTGGAAGTCACTCCAAGGTAAAAATGAAATAACTTCTGTGGCAAGTGCTATCAAGTAAAGCCTTGGTATTGTGCCCTCCTGTGCTCTTTTTGGAGAACCTAGTACAGGTGCTACACATGTGTGCTTGTCCTTATTGGAGTCAGTGGAGGATTGCACCTCGTATATGGCAGAGGGGAAGAGCATTTGGCTTAAGAACCTCTGCAGAGAGGGTAGAAACCTTAGCTCATACAGCCAGCCTTAACATGAGGAATACTTTAATTGCTCTGGCCATCGTGTAGACTTAACCAGTTCCTGTCACCATGCATTGCCTAATGGCAATGAAAACATTGCAAAGTTCTCCAGTTTAGCTGACTCATTTCAGTTACAAAGAATTCTTATAGGAAATGTTTAGAGAGCTCCTGTCATGTTCTGCAGATGTGGGCGTCACCTCTTTGTGCCTTTCCATGCTAGAAATGCTCTGGTCAGTAACTGAAACACATCCATGTTCTGTGGGAAAGGATCCTGACATGGTTAAAGAACAAAGAAGGAATTAATCTTAATCATACTGTTGACAAGTACTACTTGCCACCTTAGAAATAATCTGAAAAGCTGGCTTCCAGATGGGCTTAAACTGTTGCATTAACATAAAAACAACTTTTTGAAACAGGAAATACGCCTGACATCCAATGTGTTAGGCATTAGTACAGTCTGAATGGAAGCCAGTTCTAGGAAGACCTCAGTAGTTCAGACTTTCTGACTTCATTGCACTTCATAAAAATATTGGATCTTCAGGAGAAGCTTAACAAGACTGGAGAGCCCATCAGCACCGCTGGTGAATACAGATCACAGTGTCCTACCTTGACAGCTGCAGTCCTTCTGTAAATGTTCTGCCATTACTGCCAGCATCCAGCTTATCCACTGAGAGTGAGAACAGAATCATCTTCCTAAAGAAAAGCAACCAGAAGAGCAGCACTTTATTTCCAGAATTTTCAAAGCATATAAGGCAAATACTAGAAAAATATATACAGGCCAGTGAGGCTGTGAAGTTACAGTCCAGTATGGAGCATAATTAGTGCGACTCTACAATACCCCAGCTCACACAGCCAAGCAGAGCAGTCAGCAGTGTATTACATGCTTTCTGGTCGCTGAAAATTTGTAGAAAAAGTGAATATCCCTCACTATTCTATGTGTTTTAGCCAACATTTTGTAGTTGTATCCCCATCTTGGAGTATAAATGAAACATTTTTTTTTAATCATGGAGTTATTATCTAAGTAACTAAACATGGTGACTTTCCTTAAATAAGCAAATTTTGCTCTGAGATCAGAGCATGTCCAAGCAACAAGTCTGCACTGGTTTTCTGTGAAGCTAAAGGCAGCTTGTCATCTAGCAGCCTTCTAAACTGAATAACAAAACTGGGACTTGAAACTCAAAGACGATGAGAAATCAGAAGATGATTGTTCAGGAATTCAAATATATTGAAGCCAGTAAATTAGCAAGCTTTCAGCTTGTCACGAAAAGATGATAAAGGCAAAATCAGGATGCATTATTTTCAAAACCTGAGGAGCCCACAAAACCACACTTGCAGTAGTGAATTATGTTGCAAAATCTAACAGTGCTTGTTTACTCCAAATAGAAACTGTCAATACTTTAAGAGCCAAATAAGAAACATCAGCTCATGTAAATGGTATCTGGAAATGTCACACAGCATGAAGTGACTGCAGAGCAGGCATGAAGATGTGAGTATGTTTTTACTTGCACCTTTGGAGTTTTGATAGTTCAAACATCAAGTATTTCTATCCAAATAATTACAAATATTGTTGAGGAACATTTGAAGAACTGTAGCCCTGCTACAGCTTGAGCTGGTATGAAGCTCGGGCAGCAGACACTTCAGAA